TCTTGTGTGTTATCTTCTATGGTTTAAGTAGGAGAGAATTTGGCTGAAAGGAAAATCAATTTTTTTGTTCCTTCTCCAAGCTTGGGCTTCCTAGGAAAAGCATCCAGACCTGTACAATTGAGAAGATTTCTTTGTGGATACATATATATATAGGACTAAAATGCACTACTCAGACCAATTAACATACACCAACACAGGCAACCCGGAAAAAGTGAGAGCAACAGGTGGTAAATATTAATATCAGTGCCATACCATCCTCAATCGTGGTGGGTTTCTAAATGAAACTCTGAATATTAAATGAGCAAAGTGATTTGATTTGTTCTTCTATCCCAAGTTGTGGTCTAAAAGCAATAAGGCCACCAACCATTATATCTGCTTTAGCAGAAACACACTCCTTCCGCCATTAAGTTCTCACCTTTTCGCAGCACTGCTAAATAATTATGACATGCAGTCTAACACAGTCTAGCTTTATAATCCATGCTTGGTGCCATACATTTAACTCACTTTTACACCACATGCAGTTCTCAGGTGAGCATGACTGGTTCTTAACCTGATTGAAAACACCTTTTCCGTTATGCTTAAATGAGAAAAGGCTATGTTGGTCTGAGTCTTTCTTATTATGGTGGATTAGTAAAACACAGCAGCTGAATGCCCAAATAAGTTCAAATGAGTGCACATTAAAATGGGGCAGATATGGGCCACCCATTTTGGGCTTGCAATTTGGGAAGAGGTTGAGACACATTGTCTTAACACTCTATGGCGAGGGTGTCAAATTGCAGTCCTGGAGGGTCAGAGCCCTGTGTAGCTTAGTCCCTTCCCTGTTCCACCATAAATGATTCAGTTCAAGAGCTGTGTGGTAATTAGTACAAGGAGTTGAATCAGGTGTGTTAAATGAGGGTGAACCCAAAAATGTGCAGGGCTCCGGCCCTCCAGGACTGGAGTTTGACACCTGTGTATTAGATTGATTATTTTAAGTTGAACTGACTTGAAAAAATTGTGTGAAAAAATGAAGTAATATTTTAAGTTGATCCAATGTTTCATTTTTTTCAGTGTACATTTGAACAAAAACTGGCATGTCCAAAATTATTCATACCCTTCTCAATAATCAATAGAAAAGCCTTTATTGGCTATTAAAGCAAACAAACGCTTCCTATAATTGTTGACCAGCTTTTTGCATGTCTCCACTGGTATTTTTGCCCATTCATCTTTAGCGATGAGCTCCAGCTCTTTCAGTTTGGAGGGTCTCCTTGCCATCACCCTGATCTTTAGCTCCCTCCACAGATTCCCAATGGGATTCAAGTCAGGACTTTGGCTAGGCTACTGCAAAATGTTAATGTTTTTGTCCACTAACCATTTCTTCACCACTTTTGCTGTGCGTTTTGGGTCGTTGTCATGCTGAAATATCCAGTGGTGCCTAATGTGCAGCCTAGTGTTGTATATATATATATATACCTGTATACACTGCTCAAAAAAATTAAAGGAACACTTTGGAAACACATCAGACCTCAATGGAGAAAAAAGTCATGCAAGATATCTATACTGATATGGACTGGGTAATGTGTTAGGAACAAAAAAATGCCACATCGTTTGATGGAAATGAAAATTATCAACCTACAGAGGGCTGAATTCAAAGACACCCCGAAAATCAAAGTGAAAGCAGGCTTGTCCATTTTGCCGAAATTTCATTGCAGCAACTCAAAATTGTACTCAGTAGTTTGTTTGGCCCCCACGTGCTTGTTGCATGTCTGACAACATCGGGGCTGCTCCTAATAAGACCACGGATGGTGTCCTGGGGGATCTCCTCCCAGATCTGGACCAGGGCATCACTGAGCTCCTGGACAGTCTGAGGTGAAACCTGGAGGTGTCAGATGGACCGAAACATAATGTCCCAGAGGTGTCCTATTGGATTTAGGTCAGGCGACTATGGGGGTCAATCAATGGTATCAATTCCTTCATCCTCCAGGATGGACCCAGGACCCACTGCACCGGTGTAGGGTCTGACAATGGGTCCAAGGATTTCATCCTGCTACCTAATGGCAGTCATGGTGCTGCTGTCTAGCCTGTAGAGGTCTGTGTGTCCCTCCATGGATATGCCTCCCCAGACCATCACTGACCCACCACCAAACCGGTCATGCTGAACAATGTTACAGGCAGCATAACATTCTCCACAGCTTCTCCATACCCTTTCACATCTGTCACATGTGATCAGGGTGAACCTGCTCTCATCTGTGAAAAGCACAGGGTGCCAGTGGCAGACCTGCCAATTCTGGTATTGTATGGCAAATGCCAATTGAGCTCCACGGTGCTGGACAGTGAACACAGGGCCCAGTAGAGGACGTCGGGGCCTCAGGCCACCCTCATGAAGTCTGTTTCTGATTGTTTGGTCAAAGACATTCAGACCAGTGGCCAACTGGAGGTAATTTTGTAGGGCTCTGGCAGTGCTCATCCTGTTCCTCCTTGCACAATACCGGCAGATACAGGTCCTGCTGATGGCTTAAAGACCTTCTACAGCCCTGTCCAGCTCTCCTAGAGTAACTGCCTGTCTCCTTGAATCTCCTCTATGCCCTTGAGACTGTGCTGGGAGACAGTAAAACTTCTGGCAATGACACATATTGGTGCGCCATCCTGGAGGAGTTGGACTACCTGTGCATCCTCTGTAGGGTCCAGATATCTCCTCATGCTACCAAAAGTGACACTGACTGTAGCCAAATGCAAAACTAGTGAAAAAACAGTCAGAAGACATTAGGACAGAAAAATGTCAGTGGCCCCCACCTGTTAAACCATTCCTGTTTTGGGGGTCGTCTCATTGTTGCCCCTCTTGTGCACCTGTTGTTAATTTCATTAACACCAAAGCAGCTGAAACTGATTAACAACCCCCTCTGCTACTTAACTGACCAGATTAATATCCAAGAAGCTTAGTTTACTTGATGCTATACTCTGATTAATAAGCTTTCCTTTCATTTTTGAGCAGTGTATATATACACTGCTCAAAAAAAAAAAAAAATATATATATATAGTTATCGTTAGTGAGTCATTGTATTTGCTCCTGTTGTTGTTTGTGTTGCTTTGTGTTTGCTCTCTACTTTGCTGTGTTTGTTCCTGTGCTGCTCCCTGTTTAGTTCTTGTGTTTGAGTGCCCTCTAGTGGTACATAAGGATGTAGAAAGATTAGACGCATTGTTTGGAAAGTGAACATTTTCCATATTCTACATATAATGTAATGTGTGGAAATCTGATTGTGCACACCAGAGAACTTTGATGTATGTACTAATGTTCTAAAATAAATCACAGTAAAAGATACAGGCTCTGCAAGCAAAGCTCCATTACATGTACACAATGAAGAGACACTATATAGGGAAGAATAAGCAGGAAGAGTCCCTTGGGATGAAACCAGCAGCTTCTTGGATCTGCAGATGGATGGGGTTCACCGGAGCGATGTCTATGAACTCTTCCATGGAATGTTCCAGAGTACAGCCATGGTAACAAAGAATCCTGGGAGCTGTCTGCTGCACTGTCATGTAGCTGACCACATATTTGCCAGTATAGAGACCGCCTTCACCATCAGGAGCCAGGCAGGTGGAGGGGGATGAGGCCTAACTGAACTGTAGTGTGTTCAAGACATCCTGAAAAATTCTACAAGTACTACAGGAAAAATACACTGCCCGGCCAAAAACAAAATCGCCATTTCAATTTTTCCTTGCACCCCCTTTAACTTTGATTATGGCGCACATTTGTCATGGCATTGTTTCCACAAGCTTATGCAACATCTCACCCTTTATTTTCATCCAGATTTGCATTCATTTCTCACCGAGATCCTGTACTGAACCTCCATAAAGCCTCCTTCAGCACATCCCAAAAACCTTCAATGAGGTTAAGGTCACAACTCTGTGGTGACCAAGTAATGCATGAAAATTATTCCTCCTGCTCCCTGAACCACTATTTGACAATTCAAACCCAAAGAATTTTGGCATTCTTGTCCTGGAATATGCCCATGCCAACCAGGAACAAAAAAATCCATTGATGATGGATGGACATGTAACCTGGCCATTCAGTAGGTTCAGGAACCTGAGCTGTAATAATGATCCAGTCATTGGCTCTCAAATGGCGATTTTTTTTTTTGGTCGGGCACTGTATGAATGAGTAACACTGCAGTTTAATAACCTGAAGAACTTGTGTTGATGAGCATAGCATTTCGTACCAGCTACTCCTCAGTGACCTATAACAAATATCGTCTCCCTCCTGTATAACTAATATGAGTCTTTTGTGTCTTTTGCTGACATTAATAGATAAAAAGTGGTGGGAAAAAACTTAGGTACAAGGAAATTTAAAGGTGCCAGAAAATGTATTTTTTCATTACTTTGATTCTCTGGTGTATATATAGAATGTATGTGAACTTGGTTTGGTTGAAAAATGTTATAGCTTAATGTAGGATCTATTTTTATCAACCAAACTCCACACATCGATCTTATCACTGCTCAGAAGATATGAGCACGTGCACCCCGGTGATATCTTCTGCTCAGTGATACCATCGGTGAATGGAGTTTGGTAGATAAACATAGTTCCTGCGTTAAACTGTTCACTACAAAGTCTGTGGATTATCTTGAGTAACCGGTTCATGATTCCTGGTAAGGGACATTCCTGTTGATTTTTTTAAATGCATATTTCTGGCGCTTTAATCACTACAGAAATAATGTCATTCAGTCCCATTATATTTGAAAGAAGACCAATATTTCTATGGCTTATCTCGAAAATTTGTCAACTACTAGCAGAATAACCTTGATGGATTGATAGCATTAAAGCCCCTTTAAATCATATCTTTTTCAGTTTTGACCCTTTAAGGACTCCAGTGATGAAAAACTTGAATCTGAGATCATTTTAACTGATATTTTCCAAACGCACAATCTAGTAATCAAATTCACAGAGACACTGAAGTAAACTTGAAATACACATGCAAAACACTGAACCAAGCCATGTTTAAGACTGAGCCAGACACTGACCCATATTGGAATCAAGTCATTTTATTAGCTTAGCATCTAATCCAGTGTAGGGTTACAGCGTTGTGGAAGCAAAATTAACCTAAGTCTTGTACCCCTAAGAAAATTAGTAGGTAAGAGAGTTGAGGGCTGCTGGGATTGCTGTCAATACCTTGGGCCTTTTTCACTGCAAATATGGTTATTCACTACAAATGTGACTAAGAGGTTTGTGCCTGGTTTCAGAGTGTGCCCCCATGACCCATAATTACTCTCCCATCTGGGAGGGAACACAGCTCTTAGTTTGTGTAGAACCTACCCTGGCTGTCACTTTGTGAAATTAACTCTTGCTTTGCTGGATTACAGAACATGTGCAATATGGAATACTTCAGTGGGAATGAACCATTCAACCAATGGGATTCAGTGGGATTGAATCATATAACTGAATCAGTGTAGGTTAAGAACATGTGATACATATACTCTCAAAATTTATGTATAAATATATAAAAATGTTATTTTACTTTTAATCAAGTGTTTAGAGGTTGTCAGAAATGATGAGAGCGAGCAAGACCTCTGCACAAGACTTACAAGGAAAGGCAAGATTAGGGAGGATAGGGAGCGAAAGGCCTTGGAAGATCATGTGAACTGGAGATGAACTCGCAAGAAAACAGCAGGGAACAGCTGGTGATCATGTGCAGGGTGTCACTAGCAGAAAAAGTTTAAAAAGTATGTTGATTTGTCAGTCAGGGGCTTCTTTGCTTTGTATGTGGGGGAAGCCGTGTTCAAACAGATGCAATAAGCAAGATACCTCTCCTACTCTAAGGTGCCTGTATTCCATTTTTTTGTCCATCCAAATTTTTTAACTTCCACAGTGTATAGGCTACTTGAGTATGTATTATATATCTGATAGTATTTAAGTATTTCTCATTCATACCAAAGTGAAAAAACAATTTTAAATCCAAGGTATGAAAAGGTTTGTGTGTAAGGAAAGGTAAAGAAATAGGCTAATGTAGGTTACATGGATCTAATATGTGGTGCAGAACACAAGAAACGCAAGAACATGGACAGCAGCTCTTGACAGCATCAGAGTGATGCAATGGCATTGCCCCCAAATATAATGAATTCATCTACTCTGTGTCTTCCTCCCAGTTGTCAAAGTAACCGTCAGCAAAGTTGAGCATCTTCTGCATGGCGGTGAGGAGCAGGATGTCACAGGTGTCATTCAGCTCAATCTCATGGGAGTAATTCTTCACTGGTAGCACATATAACGCTGGGATGCCCAGACTTTGATGCACTTTATCGATCTGCAGAGAGACATGCAGTACACATATATGTTCCTCTTCAAATATATTTTTATCAGCTGCTGTATTGAGACATTGTGGTCAGACAGTGTTGTAATAATAATCACAATTGAAATGGTATAAATCTGACTTTAGCAGATGCTGTTACATGCAGATGCACAGTGAAAGTTGTAAAGCTCTTGAGGACAATGAAATGTCTCACACAAATATTGCATCTCTCCATAGATAACTACCTATCCAGTGCAGGGACATGAAGAGTCTATCACAGGAAACACAAGACCCAAGGACTGAGGCACCCAGGCCGGGATGCCGGCTCATTGCAGGTTACACAGTCACACATTGTAGGCAATTTAGAGACACCATTTCCTCCAAATGCATGTTTTCGAACAAGGGGAGGAAACACACAGAATTACAGGGAGAATCTGCAAACTGCACAGACACCACAGAGCGATTTGGCTGCTTGGAAATATGTTGCTTTAAGAAAAAAATATTCAAGACAGGGCCTGTGAGCCAGCTAAATATCAAAAACCAAAGGTTCACACCCCCAAGGACTGATTTCAGTGTTAGACCCTGAAACTCACCAGACCCTTTATGTAGCAGCTGCGGTACACGTTCTTCAAATCCTTTTCCACAAGTGGGCACGCTTTGTCCACTTTGGTCAGTAGCACCATTAGAGGGACTTCTACAAACATCAACAGAAAAAACTCACTAGCTACATTTAGAACAAAATGTTGTATGGAATAAGCCATCAAATGCATAGCATTCATAGCATTGATGTCCGACATACTCAAAATCACCTGCCAGCATCATTGTGTTTTGCCTGGATGCAAATGTGTTGACCTGAGCTTGTGTTCCTGTCCCAAAAATCAGTCCCATCCCCTTAAGTGGGCTTTATGTGACAGAAAGCCCTCAAGGGTAACGCACGATGTCGTGACTCATTTTGACCCATACAAGTTCTAGCACGCGAGTCGTATTCCAAACAAAGGTTGTATACCAAGCAAAATTTTTCGCGTCCAACCAGGACGCATACCGTTTTCTAAATATCGTTAAAGTCATTACTTCTCAGAGGTGAGCTTAGTTTTTCATGTCACTGTGTAGATTTTCACTATTATTTATGTTTCATGGAAGGCAGGCGATACAACACATTATAATTTTCATACAAAACAGCTGATGAGTATTTATGAATTTTGACCTTCAAACCCAACCTCGACACAACACTCATTCAGTCACAGATGCCACCTCCTTCCCTGTTCTCCCCACTCACTAACCATGATACTTTGTTTTCTTTCGGATTTCATCAATTTTGTTCTTCATTCCTTCAGGCATAATTGCAAGTTTGGTAGCATCTATGACATACACCACACAGTGGATCCTGTCCTGAACTGGCAATCGGCTGCCCGTCTGACAGTCATCAGTAACCTTTGCCTGCACAGGGTTGAACTAAACAGACAAGAAGCTGTTAATGACACATAAAAACATTCACTAACTTTAAGATCATAAAACTCAAGCAAAATTCAATCTAAGCCCATTCAGGTGACATTATTTAACCTAAGAACAAACCAGTGAATGAGATAAAATTTCTGCCAAAGAGAGTGTAGGGAGAAAAATACCAGTAATTATAAACATGTGTAAGTCATTAGAGGGATCAGACCAGCATGTATTCATATAACTGTTGTTTTTGAGGCCTGGTTAGATACAGTTCTTACCTGGTACTTGTCCGGTACATAGCCCTTCAGGATGCTCACTATATCTTCAGTTTTCACCCCTCCATCGTCAGTTGCTTCCAGTCCCATGGTGTCACACAGTAGGAATGAGAGAGGCTGTCCACCTCGGCCCGCCTTCACCTGGTAAGTGCGATACTGGAAGAAGACACATGATGTCATTCATCTTCCAACAGCTTATCCAGCGCAGCAGGTGCCTCAAAGTCATATAACTTGGGGAAAAACCTTAATCTCTACCCAGCCCTAACCTTAACCATAAGAAACCATTCTGTGTTTTTACTGTTTTGATTGCAGTTACAGATTTGTATAAAATTGAGGTGCAAAAGCTGATCCCCCCCCCCAAACACACACACAAATGCAGATAATCCACTAAACAGTCAGCATGTTAAAGTTCACCAAGGCGATTAGATTTTATTTTGTGTAGAGACCAATTGATCAATCTGTGGGCCAGATTTAGTAATGATTAAAAATCTTGTTGCAGGCCAGATAGAGCTGGTACTTTGTGACCCCTGTAGTTGAGGTTATTAGGTAGCCTGGGGCCAGATTCAATAATGATTAAAAAAAATTTCAGTGTCTCCCTTCCCTTCGCTGCTCCCCCTGTTCTGGTATGCCCCACTCCTGCCTCGTTGTTCCTTCTTGGTCTCTGTTTTATACCTCTCGTGCTCCTTTATTTCATGTTTGTTCGTGTCCCAATCCAAAAAAAACGCTGTTTGTTCAGCTCACTGCTGCCTCCCTCATCAAGTACAACTAATCACACCCAGCTCCGTCTGATCCTTGTGTGTGCCACGCCCCCTCATTACCTTGTGTCAATTCCTGCTTGTGATCACCTGTGTCCTGTTATTTCTGGCTTTTCTTGTGTATTTAGTCCGCGTCTGTGTCAGTATCCCTAGATCCGTCATTAATGTTAGTTACTGTGTTGTCCTGCCCGTCTGGAATAAACCCGTCATCGTTGATCTTCGCTTGCCTGCGTGATCATTTCCCCGCGTCCTGCCTGCTTGTCGGACCGCAATCGTAACAGAACTAAGGCAAAATCAACATTTTTGACAATAATACGTGAATCTCTGTCATAAAACTAATTTTAAAAATTAAGGAAATTGATATTTTATGGTAATGAGTTTGTGAGATATTGTGTTTCAGAGCAAATGTCATGCTCCATGTGTCCACACAGTGTTATTAACCCTTGATTGGGGCCACCTGGCCAGTTCCCATTAAACCCATGCTCGCCCTTATACTCTGCATGAGGTTTAGTTGATATATATGTTACTTATTGAGCAGTTTTCTTGTGTTCTTTATCTAGACCTGACCTGCCTTTGCGATCCCAGTCCTGCCTTGTACCTTTCTCCCTTGGACTGTATTGCTGTTCTCACCTCATGTCTCCCATGTCTGTATAGGACAGATTACCCTGGTACCTGACCCTTCTGGCTTTGTCACCAGAACCGCAAGTCGATTTAATGTCTGTCTGTCTGTTTCTGCAATAAGCAGTATGTGTACTGCAGGGGTCTCCAACTCTGGTCTGTACTGACCAGCTACAAATAGCTGCTTTCCTATTTTTTTTCTGCAACAATCAATTATAACATGTAACACAGACTTAATATGTGTATTTCACAGTGCTGTTAGAATCCAATTATTGCATTATCAAGAACATGACATTGTGTTTTTTTTTTATTTCAGGAAAAAAAACAGATGTCATACACCAAGCTTAATCACCCTGTACCTGTCCTAAATGTCTTTTTTCACGCTGTTCGCTGAATCGCGTGAGCCACCATTGTTGCTGACTCACTTCAGTAGGGCATAATCGACCACTCTCCCTTAGCCCTTGCTGCTTTGAGACACACTTCAATATGGCGACGGGTCTCGGGAACGCGCAAACTAAGGCATAGTGGTGAGGCGGAGTGTGTAGGGACTGGTTTGGGATTGGGCCAAAGTTTGCTGGACTCCAAGACAATACTCACGAGCGGTGGCAGCGCGTTCATTGTTTAATCACTGTTTCTGTGGTGTTGACCATGACATTGGCGAAGGAAAGTAGAATGGTAAGTACGGTTTTAATTGTTTAAATATGTTCACTTATTAGTTCTTCAGGAAGGATGGGAACTTCTTTGTTTGCTATGTTTGTAGTGGAATGGTTTTTGTTCATTATGTTTAGAAGTGCTGGAATGGTTTATTGTTCGATATTGTTTGGCTGCTATAAAACACAGTTTGTGCTTAGGTTGTTACTTCATTCAGTTAATAGTAAGTGTAAGTTAGCCTGACTCAAATTGCTGTGTTGCTGAATTGTATTCAAATAATCTCCCTCCTTCAAAAGCCCATAAACACATACACAATCATTTTCACAGTGTTTTGTTTTTGATTTTGACCAACAGATGCACGGGTCAATTTGGTGAAGAAATACCATGCATCAGTTAGCAAGATGTGCTAACTGTTGCAATCGTTTCCATTGCCCTTTGTGCCCAGTAACGATGTTTAAACCGACAACGTTATACTACGAGCCCAAATGCATGTAGAATCAGATGCAAAGAACGGAATTTCATTCCAAGGTACTGTATGTCATCTGTAGAAATTCTTTAATGCTGTAGAATGTTGCATAATTATCTATACAAAGAAAGGTGTCCTTTCAAACATTGTGAATGCAAAAAGATAAGGAAATGGTGGTGCATAACTTTGATGAACAGTGGTCTGAAAAAGTATGTATGTAAAGCATTGTGTTTTACATTGAGATACATTCAGATGCAGAATCAAGTGCACTTTCTTTGCAGTGAAGGCTTCTGTCAGATATAGAATACCGGGTGAAACCCAGCAGGGAGGGTAAATATTATATTTTTGTTATTTTTAGGGTGATATTCCATTAATTCGTCAGTGGTATTGCATTCAGCTGATGGAGAGGTTTTGCATACACGGGTATTGATGATACAGTACCAAGACTTAATGTTTCAATATCTCAATGTAAGTGATGTGTACTTGTACTACTCAGACATGGACAGAGGTTTGCCTTTTGGACTGAGGAAGCTTCACACCTGCTGAAAGCGAAGTTGGAGCCTCTCTCGAGGATGAGCACTCCGGCTGTTCTCAGACAAAGTGTAATAGTGGTGCGTGTGGGGTGTGTGTGTCCCTTATTTTTCTCCGGTGGTTTTCCTGTTGACTACCAGCTGCATCTGATTAACTTATTTGATCCCTGATATTCACTTTGTATCTTAGGAGTCGCGCATCATGAGGGACCTCTGCAGTGCCGTGTGCTGGATTCGCAAGAATCACTCCCTCTTCCATGGAAAGGTGACAGAACCTGCTGTTGTCCAGATGGAGGCTGAGGATCAAAAGGAAGTCCTCAGGGAGGTCCTGGAGGGTCAAAGTGGCAATAGAAATGACCCATTTATGTATTTTTCATAATAGGGAGGACATGGAAACCTTCCTCTCTAATTGTGTTGATGGGATGGGTTTTAAACTTCATGCCATGTTTGCGTAATACGAATTGTTTTCCTCATTCTTTTATTCTGTTCCTTATACTGCTTTGTTATGCATTCGTTCTAATTTATTTATACATCAATACACTACCTACAAATAAAATGTTGTTTGCCAAATTATCTATGTATAGTGATTCATTTATGTAGGAAATACTTCTGTTATTCTAAGATAATGTATGTGGAGAAAAGCTCTGAGAGAAGCATAATTTTGCAACCTTTAAGTCTTCAATATAATACTCTATTACTGTATATCTATAATACTAAATTGGTGGAAAAACCACCATCATCACCATCAACACTGACACCCCGCAGGGCAGTGTGCTGGGCCCCCTGCTTTACTCTCTCTACACCCATGACTGCGTAGCAAAGTACAGCTCTAACACCATCCTTAAGTTTGAAGACGATACCACCGTAATAGGTCTGATCAGCGAGGATGATGAGACGGCCTATAGGGAGAATGGTGTCAGGACAACAACCTCACCCTCAACGTTAAAAAAGCTAAAGAGAATGTGGATTTTCTGAGACAGGCAACAGAGCACCACCCCCATCTACATTGGAGGTGAGACTGTGGAGCTGGTCAGCAGCTTTAGGTTCCTTGGAGTCATCCTCACTGATGATCTCAAATGGTTAGGAGACTGAAGAAAGCCCAGATGTCCCCCACAACTCTGTGCAGATTCTACAGGTGTACTGTGGAATCCATCCTGACAGGATGCATCACATCCTGGTACAGCAGCTGCTCTGTTCAGGGCAACAGAGCTCTGCAGTGTGTGGTGAACTTAGCACAGAAGATCACGGGCACACAGCTCCCTGCGATCCACGACATCCACACTACACACTGTCTCAGGAAAGTGAACTGTATCAGGAGGGATCCCAGCCACCCTGCACTGTCACTTTTCACCCTCCTACCATCTGGGAAGCGACTGAAGTCCATTCGGACGCGTACCTCCAGGTTCAGGGACAGTTTCTACCCAACTGCAATCAGACTCATGAACAATCAGTAATCTTGTGTCACCTCCACTGCTACCCACACATATATTTCTGTGTCTGTCTCTATTTATTCCTGGGATTCTGGTCTTATTTATTTACTTATTTATAATTCACTTTATCGTTACATTCACTTGTCCTGTTGTCTAGCCCAGATAGCATGCGGATGTGTGGCACTGCTGGCCCGGTTCCGGCACCGGCAAACGGATGTATCGTAAAAGTGGCCCACTTGTGATTAGACAAATGTGGCCCAAATGTCACAAAACAGAGATGGACCACATGTTAAATACTTTATTAAAAAATTGTTATATGGCTTGCGGCTCCGGCCCACTGGCAAAGGTATACACTGTATAAAAAAAAATCAGTCAAAAAACGGAAAATGTACTGGCAGAAAATTACCGGCACATTTTCCGTTTACGGACTCTTCCTTCAAGTCTCAAGGAAAATATTGTAAATTCACAGTTTTCCACAGGTTGTTGTTCCAAGGAATATTTCTTAAATAATAGTTTATTTTCATTTTTAATTTTTCATTCTGCCAATTCAGATTTGTTTGTTTAATAAATGATTAACTACAAAAAGTAATTTGAGAATATAGTAATTCACTACATTCATTATTTTTCATGACTCAAGGGCCCATAAACATGCATTTATCCAACTGCCCAGCCAACACATCCATGTGGGGCCCGCATGGGATGCACT